TTATCATTTTGATGTCAATAATCGAGTTGCCATGGTTTCTGAAGACAGAAATTTCTTTAAAATTCTTTCAAAAGGCTTCTACAGTTTTGTCTGATTTTGCCATAAAAAGAATTCAACCTAATTAAATGATCATTATTCTATTTATTGCTGATGCAAAGACTTTGATTGTCATGGAAGGTATATATACATATGAAATTGTTGACATATTTTACTTTGTTTGTAAAGATAGGTATACATTTGGAGTTGTTGACTTATCTCACATTGCCTGCCATGCTATGACTTGTTTGGAGTTGTTGAATGAATGCATACCCTGTCAGAATTTAAAGCTTTGAAAATTAACTGCTGTCATGTGCAAAATCCCCAACTGGAATTTTCAAAAGTTGGCATGTATGCAAATTTAGTTTGATGTCCAACTGCAATTTTCTCTTCTTTGTTATAAATACAAACCAGTAGAGCCACTGTCTCAACAGAGACTTCTAGTTTTTGTGCTGAATTTGACAATAGAATATTCCATCTATGTGACTAATACAGTAACACTTGGTTATGGCGAAGTCCTGGGAACCTGTGAATTTAAATTGCTTTATACATAATTTGTTTTATCTGTATAAAGAATCCGTACAACTATAATAGCGAATTTGTAATATGCATGTTTTCCTTCAAGTTTTAGTACTGAATATGTAAGGGAAGCAATTATTACAAAGCTATGGCACGCCAAATTCACAAAAATGAGATAATCATAGTTTCACAATTGATAAACTAGGTTTATTGACTGTAAACTATAGTTTACAAACCGTAAACTATAGTTAACGATTCGTTAAGTATAGTTTTCATCTGTAAAACTATATTTAACGGTTGTTAACTATAGTTTGGATTCAGAGATAGTTTACGAATGTTAATTTAAGTTTTTCTGTCTGTAATAAAGCGTTAAGAATAGGTTTTGTTGATAAACGTAGATTCACGTTTGTAAACTATAGTTTTCAATCGTAAACTATAGTTAAGAGTTGTTAATCGTAGTTTCACAAATTGTGAAACTATATTTATCAGATTGTTAACTATAGTTAACGGTTTGTAAACTATAGTTTACAAATCGTGAAACTGTATTTATCAGATAATCTATGTTTTGCAATTGCAAATGATTGTTTTTGGTGTTATGTATAGTTTACAGTTGTGAAACATAGATTATTGCGTTAACTATGGTTTACAGATGTGAAATATAGATTAACGTTGTTAACTATAGTTTACGGTTTGTAAACTATAGTTTACAACCGATAAACCTAGTTTATCGATTGTGAAACTATGATTATCTCATTTTTGTGAATTTGGCGTGCCATACAAAGCATACCTTGGATAGTTTTTCACTGACAGGTGACCAGCAAGGCTCGATCTAGTGCCACTTATTTGGTTGATTGAACATACTAAAGATTTTAGAGCAATTTCATTTGAAAGTAACAGTAAATTATTTCTTTTTCAGTTTTAGATACCATAACCCTGGAAAACATATAGATATCCAGTATTCAGGATGTACAAATATCCAGAATTCAGAATGGATCAATATCCTGGATTCTTTGAAGCAGAGCGAGGACTCTTTGAAATGTATGAAAGTATGGATCAGTCTGTTGACTATTTTATTGGGGGAAAATGCAAAGAAGAACTTGAATCAGATACATCAGAGATCTTCACTGATAGTGAAGTTAATTCAGAAACACCTCATTTTAATACAAATATATATGAACAACATGCATTAGAAGTGTTTGGAGGTCATGCAGGCTCAATACTATCCAGACGTTCTCTACACAAGAAAACTGTCAGATCCTGCAGAACTTCAAATATTGTCACTAATAGTTCTTCCAGTGATTTTTCTGGTGGTGAACAGACTTGGAATACTTCCATTAGAAATCATCCCTCTGCTCCACCTGCTAAATATCGGATGAAGCAACACTACAGTCGACGAATGCTGCACAACTACTATCCACACCAGTCATACCAAACTATGCATTCAAATCTATCGGCACATGCAACAGAGCATCCAGCTGCTCCACCTGTTAGATACCAGCTGAAGCAACATCACAGCCGCAGGATACTGCACAAGTACTATCCACACCAATCTTGCCAAGATGTTAATTCAAATCTTCAAGCACATGCAACAGAGCAATCGCATTGCATTGTTGATTCTGTGAGGCACAAATCGAAATATTCTAGTCAACAAAAGTCTAAAGCCATGACCAAAGTGGTGAACACTTCCAAAAAAGGAGTTTCTTTGAGGAACTTTCCAAATGCTCCAGCACCATATATAACTCAGATAAAGCACAATGAACAAACCAGTCGTTATATATCTCAGCTTAACAAGAAAGTGACAGAACTTTCAAAGAAGAAAAAATGCAGCAGTTTTGAGAAATGTGAAGAAGTTTCTTTATTACAGAGTTTACAAAGAGGTGGAGATTCCTGCCAAGATTTAATTGAGATTTCCTCTGAAGATTCTTTTGAAGATGCTCCGATGAACATAGAGAATACAGACAGTGATATATTTACATCTTTAAATTCTGATTCCTCTGAATCTGAGAATCTTTTTGTAAACTGCTTCCCTAACCCTGGTAAAAGATATGGTTCATTTACAACAAGATGTACCAGTTTCAAGGGCAAAGAATTTATTCCAGGTCTGGCTTCAATGACATCAGATGGAACTGCAGAAAAACAGAAACGAAATGATTGTCTGGCTGCTGAATCAGATAAAGATCTGGAAAGCACAATTACTTCCTCTAGTACTTCACCACAAACAAATTATGAAGAACTACCTAGAAGTCTTGGAAGACCTGATACAGATGCCATATCATCTCTGAAACTAGCAAAGGAAACATGTATTGAACCAGAATCAAGTTGTTATTCATTGAGTGATGAATCACAGGACGAAGTTCTGGAAAGCACATCTTGTCATGGTACTTCACAAAATGATCATCCAGAATTGCCTAGATGTCTTTCAACACCTGAATTACATAACATGGATTTTATATCGCCTGTAAAAATAACAGATGTGACACATGATGAACTGGAAGTTTCTCCACTAAGCAATAAGAGCAGTCCTCGTGTGAAATGGGATGTGTCATTCAGTTTTATGGATAAAGGTGGATATCATCCTATAGCACTGCCTCTGGGTTGTCACATTCTTGAAGATGGAAGTGAAGACAGTGAGCTAGATGAAGAAGGCACCAGTGTTCTTGAAAAGAGAATGAACAAAATGGGAAGAGATGAGTACAATTTGAATGTGGACACTTCATCAACATTTATGCCATGGATTGTCATCCCACTGGATGAAGTTCCAAGAGTAAATTATGCAGGGGTTAAGTTTCAGAGTTCTGATGATCCAAGGTGCAAAAAGGAAGAAAAGTCATTGGAGCTTGACTTTGTGGGTCATGAAGGAGGTCCTTTATTCACTTCAGATGAGACAGAAATACCTTCAGTTGCATTTAGTTCAGAATGTCAAAATGACTCCACAGTTTGCAAGCTTAATGACAGGGACATAGGGAACAAAGATGCTCCTAGTTCTCTTGATTTCTTGGCTGGTGAGAATACAAATGTCTGTTCAAAGAAAACTGCATATCATGTAGAAGACTTGAATATTTTTGACCTATCATTTCCTGATTTATTTCTGCAAAGAAATGAGGATGCATTAGAATTTCCTGACATTTTTCTGGATTCTTTATCTCAAGATAAGGTGAATTCTGAACCAAGAAAAGAGCCTCCTCAGTTCGTCAATTCTAGCATGGCCATATCTACAAAGGAACACAGAAATGAATCTCATATGGATATGAAGAATTCTTTGAAATTTTCTGACAAAACTTTGAATTCTGCATCACAAGAGAACATGATTTCTGAGTCAGAAAAAGACATCCCATTGTCATTGAACTCAAAAACATTTATTTCTTCCCCAGAAGTCATTCCTTATCCCCAACAAATTGAAACATCCTTCAACTATGGTAAAAGTTCTTTGGAATTTCATGATACAATTCTGGATTCTTTAGTACAAGAAAAGGAGACCTCTGAGCCAGGAAGACAGTTTCCTCAACAAAACAATTCTAGCAAAGAACTAGCTACTGATATTGACCAAAGGAATACAACTTTTATGATTGTTGAAAATTTATCACATGCAATGACAATCCCTAATGTCTGTGAGTCAGAGAATAATACAAGCAATCATACAGACATCTCAGCAACCCTTCTCAAGTCAGCCTCATCTGATGTAGCTTCAGGTACCCAAAATGTGTTCAGTGAGTTTGAGCAGCAGCAACCCTGTACTACTGAAGATTTCACAGTGGACAGTAAAGAATCATCATCTCCAGCTAATGCTAAAAAGTTACCCAATTCAACTGTTCAGCTTTTAAAGGAGTCATCAGCTTTTCTGAAAGATGATACCTTTTCCACAAGACGAGTCAGAAGACTTAGAAGAGTTGCAACATCTCTAAGGGTGCAAGACTATGCATTGCCAAATTCTCTTGAAGAGTTTTATGTGGAGAGTGAGTCATGCAATTATGCTGAAAGATCTGGAATATCTCTCTCAGAAAAGTCACATGGAAAGGAAATGCCACATCCCTGCTCAACTCATGATGATACAAATGAGGAAGAAACTCGCCATAAGGACAACTCAGAAATTGTCAGAATGGTAACAAGGAGTTCAACTAGGGCAACTAATAAGAATAGGTCTATTCAAGCTCCCATAGCTGTTTCAAAACCCAGAAAACATAACTATCTGAAAAGCACTGAGAAAAGAAACTCGAGAAAAGAAAATGATAAGGACAACACTCAACAAAGTTTTCAAGAAGAACAAACAGCAGAATGTGAAAAAGAAAATAACCACCAAGAGAACAGTAAGAGGAAACCCTCAGATGTCAAAAAGGGATTATTCTTGGTTAAGTTTGAAGGCAGAAAGTACAAATGCAGTAAAGGAATATTGACTCCAGTGGGATGTAAAGATTCTGTCAGCAATGAGAAAGAGAAGGATGATTCAGATTTATCTTTAAACGAGGACTTTGATCAAAATGCCTCAAAAACTGGACACAAGATCAGAATGAGAAATGGAGTTGTAAAAAAGAGAAAAAAAAATGAAAGGGGAAACTCATCTCAGGAGCGGTCAGGTGTTAAAAAGTCTAGATCTCAATCTCCCAAAGTAATGATCCAGAATTGCTTGCAAGAAATTGCGGTGTCAATAACTAAGAATTCTAAAACAGTTACCACCAGGAAGTCTAAAAAAGTCTGTATAGTTCAGAAAACTACAAGGGTGAAAAAGGAACTTTTCCCTGTGAACAGGAAGAAAAGTGGAAAGACAGTGAAAGACATCTCACACTCATCAGCTTTAAAGTTGCAAAAGAAAGGTACAAAAGCCAGTCCTGCTAAGAAAGGTGTCTCGGAAAAAAAGAAGCATGGTATTGTGAAACAGAACCAGTCTTCTACAAGAAGTGATCAAAATAAAACCACTAAAAATAAGAAGACGAGCACAGATGAGAAAGTTTTGAAATCACAGAAAGGAGCAAGTCCTCTGGAGAAAGAAGATAAAGTAGCAAATAAGACACAACCAAGAAAATTACCTGTGAAACCAGTTATAAGGATTCACCAAGGTCTTAGAAACACAAGTTTGAAAACATTTAAAGCTCAACAGAACGGCAAAAAAGTAAAAGAGCTGACCAAGAATATACCTCAGAAACCCTTTCCTTGTGCATTCTGCCAGAAAAGATTCAAGAAAGCCTCACAAATTGAGAAGCATATCAAAGATGATCACAAGTGTTCACGTTGTGACAAAGTACTGGACTCCAAGGTAAGCATAGCTATATAAAGATAACTGTAAGAGCACAAATTTTCATTGGGTGAAAATTTTGTTTGTTTGTTATCTTAAAAGGTTTTGTGAGTATTTAATTTTGTTGTTTCAAAAGTAACTATATTCTATATTTTAATAGTCAAATAAAAAATTTCATTTAATTGAATTCAATGAAAAATATTTATCAACAAAATAAAAGGAAATGCACGGGGTCAGGGTTTGAATCCAGGCCTGGTCAACTGCTGTTTTACTCCTCTCCCATTACAGATGTAATAATAATAATGTATGATATGGTGATTTTTATACACTATACATTGTTTAGGAAGCAAAGCAGAGACATTTCTATGGTTTCCATGCTACAGAGGTACATAAATGTGTTACTTGCCAGAAGGAATATAACTATCCTTTCCACCTAAGGAAACACTTTGAATCTCGTTCACACAAAGACCTCATAAAATGTCTCATCAAAGAAATGAAAAAGTTATCCAGGGGAACATCTTCCATCAGAGGGAAAGCTTGTAAGTGCTTCAAAACTTTTGAAATATGACTTTTTTGCTCACCTGAGCCAAAAGCTTTAGTGAGCTTTTCTGATCACATTTTGTATGGTGTCTGATTGTTTATCTGTAAAATATAAACATTTTTGAATTCTGATGTAGAAGAACTAGGCCAATTTCTACCAAACTTGCCACAAAGTAGTCTCTTGTAAAGTGGCTTTGGGTTTGATCAAATGAAGGACCACTCCTTCAAAGGGGAGATAGTTATAAATTTTGAAAATTAATGACATCTTTTTCAAATCTTCTCAAACAAACCCTGAGCCATAAATGCAAGGAAGCATCCTCAGGTACAGTGTAGTTGTAGTGTACATTCATATTTCTTCAAATACAGTAAAAACTCGGTTAGTATGAACACGGATATTGCGAATTCACAGATATAGCGAAGTTATTGTGGATACCCAGCTATATAAATTTTTTAAAATTCTTATAGGGATATAACGAATTATGGATATAGCGAAGTAATTTCATAGGTCCCAGGGACTTCGTTATAACCGAGTTTTACTGTACATGACCTCAGAGGTAGAGTAGAATTGCAATGTCTTCAGCAAAGCCTTTGATTGGTCATATTTGTTTGGAAGCATTCTCAGGTATGTAGATTCAAATTTGTTCAAATCATAACCCCAGTGGGTAGGGGGGAGCCACAATGGATAATCAAAGTTTAACATAGGATTATATAGGAAAAATTTTGCAAAAAAATCTTTTCAAGAACAGCAAAACCATGATTCCCATCATTGGTCATTTTTGTATTGAAGCACCATTAAGTAGTGTAGATTCTAGTTAAAAACCCATCAGGTAGGGAAGGAAAACACTTGGTAATCAAAGTTTTATATAGGAATTTGTAGAAAAATATTTTTTTTCAAGAACATCTCAAGTATGATTAGTAAAATTTATATGGAAGCATCCTTAGGTAGTGTAGGAAGTTTGTTAAAATCATGACCCCTTGGGATAGGAAGGGGCCACAATGGATGTTCATCTTTTTCAATAGAATATTCAAGATTAGCAAAGCTATGATTTCTGTTCATTCTTAGCCAAAGTCCTCATGTGAGCCTTGTGGCCCACAGGCCTCTTATTTTAAATATTTTGTGAAGTTAGGTGTCAAACTGTCAATATTATTGAAATATATTTATTGTGTTGCAATTAAAGATGTATTTACTTAAATAATAAAATGCTTTCTTTGGTTGTAAGTATGGAAATTAATGTCACAGCTGTTGCAGAAAAAATACAAAAATTGGGGTTATGTAATTTTTTACTGCAATAGCTGCAACACTTATTCCAATGCTAAAAGACATTTTATTATTTACATCTATATGAAAAACATTCTAGTAAGTACAAGATGTGTTTGTGAAAGATTATACTCCCGGGGCAACAAAGTTCGAAAGAACTATTTTTAGCATATAGGTCAGTCAAGGTCACAAGGTCACTAGACCTTGATGTCATTTGAAAGGACTTAACTAGTGTAGTATGCATACCCCAAATATGAAGTCTCTATTTCCTATGGTTCAAAAGTTATGGTTAAAGTTCGAATAAGCTATTTGTAGCATATAGGTCACAGTTACTAGGTCATAAGTCATCGACTTTAGTGCCATTTGAAAAAGCTTAATTAATGAAGTATGCATACCAAACATAAGTCTCTTTCTTCTATGGTTTAAAAACTATGGGGAAAGTTTGAAAAAGGTATTTTTAGCATTTAGGTCACAGTCAAGGTCACAAGGTCATGACCTTGGTGTCATTTGAAAGAACTTAATAAGTGGAGTATTTATACCAAATTTGAAGTCTCCATCTCTCATGGTGCAAAAGTTATGGCGAAGGTTAAAGTTGACAACAGACAGATAAACAGACAAACAGACAGGACAAAAACAATATACGGCACGGATCTATCGATCCGGGTGCATAAAAATTGAATATGTTAAATATTGTATTATACCTCATAGATGACTATGTCATTGTATACATGGAACAGCATTCAAGAAAACTTTACTTGCTTTGTAAAGTTTATGCACTGATTAATTGAAATGGTTCTTATAAGAAATAAAGGAAAAAATATTCAGTAGATGTAGATATATGTAAGTGACCCTCGTTATTGATTTTTACTTTCAGTGAAAGATGGAAATTCAAAACCAGCCATTTGCCCAAGTGAGACTTCAAACCATGACCTTACAGCGTATGACAAAACCTCACAATCTAGGTCAAGAAAAAAAGTGAAATTCATGGAGATGGAAAACACTTTCTTTGATGAAAATGCGGATTTATTAGAGCTTATTCACAAAATAGAGTACACTAGTGGAGAAAGTGGCATTGTTAGGCACTTCCTCTACAAAGATCCAGAACTTGCAGAAATTCAATCCTGCCTAAAGGAAGAGTCTAACTCAAGCACTTGCTACGAGGAGATAGAAATTGTCAAGGAGTACAGCATCACAAGCCACTGTGAGAATTTCCTGGAAGATGCAGGTCATCCCTTAGCCATCAGTGATAGCTCAAGGTCATCAGAACGAAGGGACAGTGAGACAAGCATATCAAGTGAATCAAGTGAATTGTCTGAAATGAACCATGGATGGAACGATTCCTATGTTTCAAATAATGTTACCATGGAACCAGTAATGTACGGTAAAGCCAGGCTAGAGAGTAATTCAAATTCTGCAATGTCAGGGTGGTTTTCAGCAGCATTTGATGTTATTGAGCAAAGAAATTTGGATGATGATCCTACATATTCTTCATACTTGGGATTGCTAAGCAATGAATCTGGAATGCAAATCTGCAGTGTTTCAAGTACAGTTGATCCATTAAACAGATCAACACAAGAATATACCAAAACGTACCAGGAATTATCTTGCATTTCAAGTGCAAAAGACCTTGGTTTCATGGAGAAAGGTCCAATAGGCATCTTCTCCAGTCACGAGATGGAAAATGGAAATCATCTCCAGAATAACCATTTTAGAGCAGGGGACTTTTCTCTGACCAATTCCAATTCTTACACTTGGAGCAAACAAGACAGATCTTGTTTGCAGCCTCCTGGAGCAGTAAGACAAGAGCTATTAAGCAACGGGAACAGTTTATGTCCTTTGTCTCCATCTGTGTATGGAGGGCATCAGACAATGTCCTGGATTCACCCTCGTCAGACGGCAAATGATACTCTTGATGCTGCCCAAAGTCTGATTATGCTGTCAAACCCAGAACAGGGTATCTCTCCAGAAGTGGATAACCGATCTACTGATAATGAATCAACAAATAAAGATGTTCAGATGGAATGGGAGTCAATCTGTTCAGAAATTCAAAGAGATGTTCAGGAGTATACAGAATAGTGGATGTTTTAAAGGTGCAGGATGGTAGAAACATTTGTAACCGAGTATTAAACATTGATATACAAATACTTGTACATGCAAATAATGCTTCCCTCTGGATTTTTTTTTTTGGATTGTTGTTTATGTATTATATCTATATGTAATCATATAGAATTGTTATGAACACTTTCAATTGAAGTTGAATATTTTTACAACTCTGTAGACAGTGTGTTTTGCATTTCCTTTTTAAAAAGTTTTATGGCAATTAGCAGTCTATTTTTAGCCACAAGTAATTTTTTTTTTTTACAATGCAAAGTCATGCATATTACAGGTATCTTGTTTGATTTATTGGTTTTAAACTCACCACCCTGAGCTTAATAAGCCTTTCCTACTAAAATTTGTTCAGAAATGGAAAATTTTAAAAGAAAGAATGTTTCTTCTAGAAATATTGGAAATTTTTGGGGAACAAATTTTTTAATTGATGGCCTTAAGAAATTTAAAAATTGCTTAGTACAACACGTAAACAATGACAAATGGTATAAACATTCAGATATGAATCTTTTAACATCTTTTTTTTTGTGATTTGTGACCTTAGCTAAGCATTGATTTAGATGGTCCCATCAAAATAAGAACACAATTGGAGGCAAAGAGGATAAAGCATAGATATAAGACATTAAGCAAGGACATGTGTATTGTAATAGAAAAGCCTTTTTTGATTGTCTGTTTTATATTTTGAGATCTATTTTAGGTTGACAAGAAAGATGGTCTTGTTTTTTTAATCAATATTTGTTTAGAGCAAATGTTATTTTTTATTGCACTTCAGTGCTATATACCATTTATTCAAGTTGTAAAAATGTTTCTTTTCTAATTTTTGTATGAAACTTGATTGATTAGTACACATGTCTCATTTTAAATCAAGCCATTCTGCAGGGTTATCTTCTAGTCATTTAAGTTGTTATAATTTTCATCTGTTAATGGCAGCGAATTTTGTTATTAAAGAATATTTTAAAGGAAAATTTTTTTCTTTTAAATTAAATTATAAGTATTGCAGTGCAAGTTAGAGTGAAATTCATCCCTAGTCAATGTTGAAGTGTGTGAATCAGGAACTTAATTTTGTAACAGGATCATTTGTATCAAAAAAGTGAAGTCTTGGATTACTTGCAGTATATTTATATTGATTGATTCTATTGTACCAAAAAGAGGTTTTCAATTTCATATGCATCTGAATGGTGTTTTTGGCAGTATGGTTTTTAAGTTAATCTTGCCAATGACTGCTCTATTCTACCAAAAATTTGAAAAGGTGACTGACCAGACCAGGATTTGAACCTAGTTCCCCTAAACCACAAGTCAGGTTCAGCATGAACTGAGTAAAATATCAGGCAATCGAACCTGCCTGACTGCCATTTCCCTCCTCCCATGAAACTAACCCAGGTCTTTCCACTTGTCACAGCCAGAAAATGGTCAGTGCATTAAATGTAACTGAACAGGAAAGAAATGTGAGAGGCCAGACCATGATTTCAACTCTGACCCCCTGAATAACTAGACAAGTGCTCCAAGTGAGCTATCCAGGCCAAAATCCACAGTCCCTATAGCTCGCTACGTTCTTTCCCCATTAAACAGACTGAGTCCAGGACCTCGTATACACAAGTTCACCAGCTTTGTTGGGGTTAAATGTAAATAAGTTTTAACAAGGCTGGTGAACATGGAAAAATTGAACTACTAGGCCATTTTTAAATAAATTTGGCAAAGATTAATCTTGGTGAAAACAATTTGTTCAAAGGTTGCATCCTCTTTCTGGGAAAGAACCCCTAGGTCAGGAAAGATAAAACCTGGTCAAGCTTTCCGACATACTGTGGAATCATGCGATTTTGTGGTGGCATAATATTTGTGAAATTCTTGAGTATACCTTTCATCCATGAATTTACATCTTCCATGAATCACAAAGGCTTCAAATTTAAGTTCTTTTTGAGTGAATTCATGAAATTATGTCCCCATAAAAATGTAAAATTTAAGTAATCCATGAAAATTTGCCTTCTTAAACATTGATGATCCCACAGTAATTAACGTCTAAATTGTTTAAATCATGACCTATGAGGAAGAGCACAAGCTTTCACGTGTTTAATCTTTTCTGGCTTAGTGATTCTTCAAAGACATAATCCTTATTTTGTCTTTCCTTGATTATCTCCCTTTGGAATGAGGAATGGCCTTTCTACTCAAAAGTTAGTTCCTCTTCACCCAAGGATGCTTTGTACCAACTTTGGTTAAAACTGGCATGGTAGTTCTTGAGAAAACTTGAAAATATTAAAAGTTTAAACTGATGGATTGACAACAGGTATAAATCTGGAAAATTCACTTGTGTTTTCAGCTCTAAAGAGCAAAAAATCTTTTAAGAACAACAAAGTCATGATTTATCACATTATGGAAAAATCCATAGGTAGTACAGGTACATGTTCATTCAAACCATGACCCTAAGTGATAGGGAAGGGCCACAATATGTAATCCAATTTTTCTAGAGGAAAATAAAGCGGGAATCATTCTGCTAAATCATTCTGCAAATGAGAACAGAAGGGCCATAATATAAATCCCAATGTCATAATTTAGTACAAGATAATCACAATTTGAACCTACCATCTGAATATAATCTTTCTATAAAAGGATAGAAGTCCATTAAGTTACAACAAAATGATCCCAACCTTGCGTTTCCAGATTAAGTTATAAGTAAATGTTTTGAAATTACCGTATATACTCGCCTATAAGTCGGTTTTTTGGGAGTTAATATCTGGTCCAAAACTCTGTGTCCGACTTATAGGCGAGCTATTAAAAGAATGATATTATATGAGGTCAGTACATCTGAAATATAAGCTTCTTGAGTACAACCGACTTATAAGCGGACCGACTTATAGGCGAGTATATACGGTAGTGAAGGAAAAGGACACATTCTTTCTCGGAGTTAAAAAGATTAAGGGAGGAAGGTTTTTCCTTTAGAACATATGCATTTAGTAATCATGTTATAACAATTTTTAGAATTATTGCAACTACTTTTCATTTATGTTCCAAGTAATGGCTGTGGCAATCATGAAAACTTGACTGTAATGCTATGCAATACCTAATTCACAAGTTAACTTGCAACTAAAACTGTGGTTGAGAATAAAGTCAAACTGTCTAAGTCAAATTCAGCAAAGTAAATTGATATTTACGTTACATCAATTTGAATCACCTATTTATGTCATATCTAAAACCTATAAAATATGCATCTTTAATAGCAGATCTGAGGGTTGGGTTATATTGTTGGTAGAGATATCAACATTTTGGCTGCTTTCTTTTAAAAAAATAATTTAAAACTTTTTATTTTGATATATTTATTTGCTGTTACAATGTCTAATCATGTATGTTCTTTAACATCAATAACTAAAATTAGCACCAAAATGTACATGTATGATCCTAAATAAACATGCCTAACAACCAAGGGCAACTTTTGATAAATACTTAATACTGAACACATTATCTTGGACTATAATTTAAAGTGGTAAATACACGTATAAAGAAAAAGTTATTAACAAGGCCTAGTCTGCTAAGAATCATGTAAATGCATCAGAAGAAAAAACATAAAAAAGGAAATCTGAATGAAATATCACTAGGTTCATGGTATGTACCGGTAATGCTTGCTTCAATACAATCCTGTGAAACGTAGAGTCAAATGGATCAACAAATGTAGAGGTAAAAAGTTTTAAGTATTACTAAAATCTTATTGAATTCTGTCTGACAGTTATAGCACTTAATAACAGATAAATGATTAAATGTACATATTACACACTTATAAAATAAATCTGACTAGCATACATAAGATAGTAATATTAAAAGATAATAAAAACAGTTTTATCTGCAACTTTCCCACAGCATCTTAACTTAGCACTGAAACTGACATTTTTTGTTCTTCCCAAATTATTTGTCCCAAAATTTATATATTTCAATCCTCCAAAACGGCAGCATTTTTTTGTTTACTTCATTGGGGACCAAGCAGTAGGAAGCAGTAGGCGACTTTTGGTACAGTAAGATCCATCTGTTAAAACATAAAAGAAAAATATTTGTTAGATATATATATATACAATTAGACATTATTCAAGCACAAAAAAAAAATATTTAACATACAGTTATGAAAAAATGTGTATTGTCAAGTACTGAAATAGAATATTGAAAATGTTTTCTACCAAATTGTCAAATACAGTGAAACCTCATTATCACAGATGAAAAACTTCCAATAGTTTGAGATATTTAGAGTAAAGCAAAGAAAGAGACAGGATCTCACTGTTTGAGATGGGATGCTAAAATTTTATCATGAAATACTAAAACTACATTACCAAATTGTAAAATTAAAATAAAGGACTCACAAGAGCCTCCTGCTGCACTGGTAACAACGTCATCAATAGATTTGTGATGCCACAACTGGTATGCTGCAAAAGGTTCACAATCTCCTTTTAGAGCATTGAAAAATTAATGACCATATAAGTGGATATTTTAGCGAGATGCATATAAAGTGATTTTTCCTGAAAAATCAAATAATTTTAGTAAAAAGTCATTTTTGTGATTTTAAGAAAATTAGAAATATATTCATTATGGTAACCCCAATATTCATTTTAGAGACATTAAACCCTTGCTAAATATGCCAAATTGATTCCTCACTAAAATTTCTGCTTATATGGTATTTAAGGGGGCCGCCTATAGTTTTATTGTGTGAAAACTACAATAGCGAAACTCTTCATTTTTATACCATATATAACTTACATTAACTTCAGTGTACATGCAAAGTTTGGGGGAAATCTACCGTCCAGGTATTTTTGAGGGACCATCTCAAAATACAGGTACATTTACTATAGGGTTATATAGGAAAATGCCAATTCTTAGCACTTTAAAGCAAATTATACAAATACTACAATAGACATTTTGTTCAAACTAAAACATTTGATGAGTAATACTATATTATACAATATATGTAAGAAACACAAAATTCTACCGTCGTTACCAGAGGGGGCATCTCAAAATGCAAAAATTTAGTAAATTTTACTATTTTTATAGAATATTACGAAATATGACGTACACAATGGATTCACATGAAAACATAATAAAAATATTGGAGATATTCTCAAATTTCTATGTTTTAAATTTCAAGAGCGTATGTTTAATGTTTTATGTTTTACTTTTTCTTTAATAACATTTTTATTAACCCTCTCCTTAAGAGCTACAGCTTATCATAACATCAAAAACACACTGCAACGACGTCAACCTACCTATCAATGGCAAAATCAGTTAAAAAATCAGTTATATTAAATTTTAATAACATTTTTATACCTATAATTTCTTACATTTGATTAATTTTAATCATTAAGCAAAAAAAGTTGCATTAAAACAGTAATTGCGCTTCATTTTACTATGATGCGCGAAATATTGTGCAATGGAAACTATAGTCGGCCCCCTTAAAACGAATGCATATGACCTTGCAGTGTAAACAGAATTAATGGTAACTGAACATTAAAGGGAACAGAAATCTACATAGTGAAAAGAGTAAACAATTCCCAAAATGGAGTAGTAAATCATTACACAGACTAAGATTTTTCAAATTGTTCTAGTTGTATATCTGGAACTTATAGCACCTGAACACAGACTGCAGTAGATTAACTTGGGAAAGGATATTGTAGAAACACAAATTTTTATGGGGATCAAATCTCAGTGATATACATGTATACCGGTGTCTCATTATATCACGGTACTTAATCCTTTTGGATAAAAAGTATTATTCCAATTTTTTACTTGAACTTTCATAAAAAATATTCATAAACCAATGTATGGACTACCTTTTTAGTGTCAAATTATTTCCCAAGCTTGCATTGTTTAAGTTATTGTCTATTTTTAAAACAGGAAGTCTTATTTACCTCCTAAATTGGAGAGTCTCATTGTATTGCGGTATGGGAAAACATGGAAACTTGTAGATGACATGGACCTCAATTTTTATTGGTGAATTTATGATGTAATTCTACAGGAAAAGTAAACAATTATACAGACTAAAGACCCTTAAAAGATGAACTTTAGTATAATTTTACTAGGTTATGAATTTAATGGTTAAAAATAATAAAAATGTGACTGGAAATCTGTAAAATTACGTTTTATTTGAATATTTTTTTTTCAAACGGATGTTCTATACTTCTTAATCATCAAAAAAGTAAACATTCAGACAACATATACATATTGTCCATCAATAAAAAGAATATAGTCTATGTATCCAAATTTCTGCGATATACCGCGATACAATGAAACCCGTGATATGATGAGAATTGAGTATACTAGCTAAACGGTTTCATGGGCATTAAATTTTGTTGATAAGGCCATAATAAATAAATTGCTAGATTCTCATCCAAATTTTTTTAAAAATCAAGGCGGGTGGGTGGCTTTTATTTTATATTTTTCATTTTTTCAATTTTGCAGATTTTTTATTGACCTGGTCAATCGGTGTAATTTTATCTACAATACCCGAATAAAAGTCTTAGTAAAGGTTCAATTATCTCTTACTTCACATCATCACCAATCTTTTTCAACCAATGACCCTTGTTTAAAATATATACGCATGTATTACAGCAATTACCATCTTTTCAGCTATCAAAATCATGTCGACTTTCGCGGGATTTAAAACAAAAGTAGAATGGTAGATGAATACTGATCCCGATCAGAATTAAGACGAAGAAAAACAGAAATAAAAAAAATCAAGGTGTGGGGTATAAAATCGGGGCGGGCGGGGATGAGAATCTAGGAATATTTTTATTATGGCCTAAATTGTAAACAAAGAAATTTAATCCCAAAGAAATTTTCTGCTTTTATAGTATTTATCAATTCTATAGGCCATGTATCAAGAATATATAGAATGGATGTAGAGAGTATCAAAAGTGAAACCCCTAGGTTAATACATGTACTGTAAACATCCCTAGATACATGTATATCTCTTTTCAAGTTTGTTAAGGCATATGCTAATAGGGAATTTACCTACTTTTTAAACTAATACCCTAAACATTTAAGGAATGTTTTTAAGTTTTGTGTGTGTTATTGGTGTGTGAATCACACAGACTTGTCACGTAGGCATATTTCATGAAGCGCGCTAGCATTCCTTATATTTACATTTTACATGTTTGGAAGCACCAAAAATATACTCAATATTTGAATTTCTTGTTGCCTATATCGTTATACTTTTACTAACGTCGATGTAGCTTTATTGTGACATCACCTTAGCACACGTTTCTTCTTGTATATTTCTACGCGTGAGTATACACAAAAATGGTTTTCAAATCAATTTCACAGTTGGCTTAGTAGAAAAACACAGCAAATGTAAATATATTACAGTACGTCACTCCCATTGATTTGCAGCATCTCAATCTGCAGTCTAGCTTATAAGAATGCCTATAATCCATGATTTAAACAGGTAGAAATAAAACCTTGAACTTGAGATTTACGTGTAGCTCATCTCTACCTCTTCAAGGTAAGATTTTAAGGAAACAAAAAGGGTCCATTCTTAAAATGATGCATACACTCCATTTTATATTTTTACAATACATACATGAACTGAGAGATCCTATGAGAGAAGAAAAGGTTCCAAGTAACTGTGCATCTCCTTTTTCCTTGGGGAGATCCTTCAAAGGTTTCTCTGTGCAGCAAAGTTCATACACACCTGGAATATATAGATGATCAAGTGTCATGTCTTTTAAATTAGCTAATGATAATTTAAAAAAGGATACTGTATAAGTGGTCCTATTTCTCAAGAAATTTGTATATATTCTTAACTAAAGGCAAGTTTAGTGATTTATAATGCCTAGCAAAGATAACCATTGGCACTCAACATTACCTCTGATACAGAATGGGTTGGGTTTTTTTTTTATTTTAGTGATCTTGACACTCCCTTATGACAAAATTGAAATCTTGGTAAAAATTCCATTTTTTTTTAAAGTTTACTGCTTATGTAAACTTCTTTGCCAAGTAAATATAAATCATTCTTGAAATTAAAAATAAATCATTATAAAAATGCTTATGATATTTACATGAATTCATTGTATTTACCTCCATTTCTTATCACAAACAAACTTTTGCTGGCCAATATTCAACTACATGTACTTTCTGTTATCATCAGACTACTGTTACTATGCACTTGGCAAATGTTGTTGTTCAGTTTCTTACCTCCATGGCATTTGATCCCACCTCTGATGTTTCAGAGGTCCTCGTTTGCATTCCTCCTGATTTGTATTTTAACAAGACTTATGAGCTTGTATACTGTTCGTTATCTCCATATCTTTCAGTCCACTAGCAGTTCAGTTTCTTACCTCCACTGTCTGTCTGCACTAGGCTACCCTTGCTGGTCAGTTTCAGCAGTACATTGTCTTGACGGTCCAACATAGGCATTATCTTGCTGATGTACTGAGCAAGCCAGTTGGGGTCATGCCCCAGTGCCTCTCTCACCCCTGCTCTATGCTTCAGAGAATCTGTAAAGGAGAAATTCATATAAATACATACATTTGATCTTTTTATGGTAATACTATATTAAATGAATAACATTAACAATTGTGGACTTCAAATCTATACATAGTCAATACACCAATCTAAATTAATAGATTCTTGAACAAAAATTATAATACTGGTATGTTATCAAATAACATGAATAACAGTGAATAATGCTTTAAGTTTGACATTTGTAAAGTAAAAATATCAGTTAGAGGGGAAAAAATTCCTTTAAGAGATATATTTTAACTACATTTTCTTTGTCAAAGTATACTGTAAGTATATGTGCATGTTCAGCATGTTAAAGTATATATCTGCTTAATAAGTTTCTATAATATACACGTACATTTAATTAATAAAACAGTCTTTTTGTAGACCTTTGTCATACTACAATGAAATTATGTATATTGCTGTAAGTATATGTGCATGTTCAGCATGTTAATGTATATATCTGCTACAGATTCTACAATATAAATTGAATTAATATTAAAGTTTTTTTGTAGACCTGGTATGCAGTTTACCGTATTCCCAAATGTGAACAACATCACTGATCCCTCCTATCTCACTGATCCAGTACCCGGTCAGTTTAGAATGTTTGGTTCTTAAATGCAGGTGCTCTGCTGACAGTTGGATAAAGCTTTTGAAGTCTTTTGGGTAAATGCTGTAGGTCCGCAGTTCATATATTGGTCCATTGTGCATGTTGTGCATGCTGCAACTGTTGGCAACCATGGCAAAACATCTTGAAATGAGCTGGAAAAGAAAAAAACTCAAAACACTTCATTTTTCACTTTAAACAAGTCAATTTTTTCTGTTCAGATTAATGCATTAAGTCATAAATTTGACTGGCTTGTTTGCCTGTTTTAAGCCTGCTGTCTGGCTTGTTACAGTTAATTATCAATCTCATTTGAGGCAGATTTTTATACTTTAATAAATGAAGGTATGTATATCAGCATCTTTTTTCCATAGATGCCTTCTGCAGATTTCATATATGACACAAGACTGTATCTGTATTGTATCCAGGTTTATACCTTACAAGCTTAAGTCCTTCAGAAAAATTCCACTTTGAATTCATTACACCATTTTGAAAAGTGATTTGTAGTCACTGTACTGTAAATTTTTATAACCTTATTGCAAAAGGATAAATAGGAGATGTTCCCTGGTTATAAAGTATAACATAACAGATGTTCATGGGCCACACTGCTCACCTTTATCACCTTGGTCCTGTTGATCTTCGGAAAATTAAGAGGCCACATCCTCTCATAGAAGCCATGATTTGGACAAACGTACACATACATGTACTATATATACCGGAGGGTGCTTTCACATGAGTAATCAGGCAGATATTCATATAAAAAAAGGTTTGCAATCAAGAGGCAAGACTACTTGATTGGTGGTTCTTAAGTAAGAAAACGAATTGATTTTTATTTTTAAACTTTACAACAACAGAAAAATTTCTGTCCAAAAAGCTCAGTTGATGGGGATCAGTTGAGCTTAGAATGCAGTATCAATATTCTTGCCATTTATGACCAGTTTTTACCTGTTTACTGCAAGATGGTGTCAGCCTCCAGTTTGCAGGTGAACAATTTACAAATATGCATTTCACTGTTTTACTCAGTCATAACATGCTATAAAAACCTTCAAATATTGAAGATCATAAACATACCCGACCATTCTTTGCCAGTGCATTTATATTTACTGCCATCCTTAATTCTGTAAATATTTATACGTGATGTATTAAGTAGGTCAACGACATGTGCACTGTAATCGGAGCTCCAAGGTTCTTTCTATTTTGCTTGTAAACATCCGAAATGTTCCGATCTGCGCTTGCCAACTACCAAACGGATTTCTGTATTGTGAGTTTTCATTGGTCTTTAAATGAAGATTTGTCCAATTGAATCACTCGGAAGAATGTGCAGCTTGTTAAAGGAATAAACATGGCGGCGAGATGTAAACATTCCAGACGTCTGAAAGAAAGCATATGATATCGGTTTGTTTTTCAAATGAATCTGAATTTATCCGACTCATTTGCTATGGAACTGATAATTGAACTTTAATATACAATGCATATCCGTCAATTTTCATCTTAAAGGCTGACTTTACGGGTAGGTTCGCACAGGCGAGTATGTTCTATCATCTATGATACAATCATACACATGTACTTCAAATATTTAGAAAAATAGTATAGTATTTCGATTTTTTAATTTTGTACCCATTATCTGGGACCTGTTTACAGAATACTTAATTTATTTAGCACTACAGTGTAACGCGATACATGCCAGTCAATGGACCATTTAATTTTCATAGCAAACACTAAACTAGCTGCAGAACTGTAGCTCTCCGAAAAATATATACTGATAGACCGGAGAGTTACAGTGCCACCCATTTAAAAAACTGTATATCTATTGCCCACTAAAAAAGTGCGCCTTTTCTCGGTTAATTTCTCGCTGTTATTAAACTGTCATCTCAAAATATTACTAACCGTGTGTTCTTAACATATTCTTTCACTGTTTCCACAACAAAACATTCCTCATAATTGTTGTTAATAGCCTTCCTGGCCCTAGAATTAAGATCATCAAAAATTTTCACCTATTTATACTGGCATTTTGGTTTGCAAGATAATTCGGTCCAATGCACTTCGTGCAGATGTCCACTACGAGAGTTCTTCATATCAGGGATGGGGTAATTGAAAAAAGTAATTGTAATTGACCGTAATTAATTACAATTTTTAAAGTAATTGGAAGTCATTTGTAATTGAACATTTTTTCAATTACTTGTAATTGTAATTTAATTAATTACACTGAAAAAATACCATGTAATTATACCCCCCGCAAACGAAGTTTGGGGGGGTATATAGGAATCACCTTGTCCGTCTGTCCGTCTGTCCGTCTGTCTGTCTGTCCGTCTGTCCGTCTGTCTGTCTGTCCGTCTGTCCGACTGTCCGTCTGTCTGTGCAATCGTGTCCGGTCCATATCTTTCTTACAGAGGGACATTAGAATCTACTACTCCACATTAAGATTGCTCATAACCTAAGGGTGTGTCATGACCTTGACCCAAGGTAATTTGGGGAAGTTCAAGGTCACTGGAAGAAAAATTTCATAATTCGTGTCCGGTCCATATCTTTCTTATGGATAAACTTGGTAGGTTCTCATTTCACACAAAGATTGCCCATGACCCAAGGGTGTGTCATGACCTTGACCCAAGGTCATTTGGGGAAGTTCAAGGTCACTGGGAGAAAAATTTCAAAATTCATGTTTGACACATATCTTTTATGGATAAGCTTGGTAGGTTCTCATTTCACACAAAGATTGCCCATGACCCAAGGGTGTGTCATGACCTTGACCCAAGGTCATTTGGGGAAGTTCAAGGTCACTGGAAGAAAAATTTCATAATTCGTGTCCGGTCTATATCTTTCTTATGGATAAACTTGGTAGGTTTTCATTTCACATAAAGATTGCCCATGACCCAAGGGTGTGTCATGACCTTGACCCAAGGTCATTTGGGGAAGTTCAAGGTCACTGGTAGAAAAATTTAATAATTCGTGTCCGGTCCATATCTTTCTTAAGGATAAACTTGGTAGGTTTTCATTTCATACAAAGATTACCCATGACCCAAGGGTGTGTCATGACCTTGACCCAAGGTCATGTGGGGAAGTTCAAGGTCACTGGAAGAAAAATTTAATAATTCGTGTACGGTCCATATCTTTCTTATAGATAAACTTGGTAGGTTCTTATTTCACTCAAAGATTGCCCATGACCCAAGGGTGTGTCATGACCTTGACCCAAGGTCATTTGGGGAAGTTCAAGGTCACTGGAAGAAAAATTTTATAATTCGTGTTTGATACATATCTTTATTATACAAAAACTTACTTCTGAAAAACCCAGCGGGGGGTATTTTGTCCCGATTGGACAGTTCTAGTTTCAATTACTTTTTCAATTACATTCAATTACTTTATAAAGTGCACATTCATGATACATTGTCACCACTACCTCCCCATTTTACTGTCTTTTATTTAATTGTAAAAACATATCCTCAATCCTTCAATTGTAAAAAATTTAAGATAATGTTTACAAGCAACTAAATGAATAGTTTGATAATAATTATCTAGTTTCTTTCTAATAGTTATATAAATTTTTTTTTTTTTTTTTTTGGTATAGGTTTATCTAAATTTTGTACCAGCCTTATTAGGTCTATTCGTTATGAAACACACATTTATTATATTTCAATTTTTCTTGTTTGATCAATAATAAAGAAAAAGAATGTGTGTGTCATAATTAAGTTCCCTCTTGTTGGGAAGAAATAATTGCCCTCCAAATCACAGCTATAAATTGCAATCAAAACAAGTCAACTCCTCTAAGGAGGTATTCATTCCATGATTCAGAAAACAAAGCCAATGGAGATAATTATTTCAATCAAAATGCTCAAAAGAAAAGAAAAACTTTCAATTTGATAATTATTTTAACATCTAAAAAGAATTTTATAAATGAATTTTGTATCTGAGAAAAGTATGTTTTGTACAAGTATTATCTATGAAGTAAAAATGTTCAACATAAATAGCAATTTAATTAAGATGTTTAGGTTCAGAAATATTTAATTTGAGGGGTACAGTTGTGACTCATTTTACTCTTTAAGGTACCTCCTTTTAATAAAATATCATAAGCCATCAGGGATGCAATTTGTGTACATGTAAATATTGCGTGGAAGAAACTGCATCAGACTGCGATCTCGGATAGTTCTTTCACGTTTTGTAAATAAAAGTTATCATTCAAACAACAAAGAAGTGTACACAATGCCTACATCATATCATTTCTTGTATTGTTTGAGCAGAGGCTGAGCTTATATACAAATGAATGTAGTTCTGTATATTCATTGACAAGGATTGGGAAAAAATCAAAAAATTTAAAATGTAATTTGTAATTTAATTAATTACTTTTGCAAAGTAATTGTAATTTAATTAATTACATGTCTTAAAAAGCCTGTAATTTAATTGTAATTTAATTGAAGAAAAAGTCAAAATAATTGTAATTTAATTAATTACTTTTTAAAGTAATTGACCCCATCCCTGCTTCATATAGGATCGATATATATATCCGAGTTATGAATTTCTTTAAATTTATCTTTTTTGCGATTGATGTAAGAATTTAGAAGAGCTAATCCAGAACTAAGCGCAACTTTTTGTGCGCAATAAATATACAATTTTTACAATGAGTGGCACTTAGTTGCTCTCCGGTCTGTCAATATATTTCTTCCAGAGAGCTACAGATCTGCAGCTAACACTTAACATAGGGGGCGATTCTATATTCTGACCTTTACATAACATTTAAAATTGTGAAAAATAAAAATAATGATTAGATAAACTATTTGAAAAGGATTATTGGCTCTGATAATAATGTCATGGTTAGCTGGTGCGACATAAGCGCGGGCAACATAACCTATATTTCATGTAGTAAATGGGGGTTATTTTATGGTTTGCAGTCATTCTTCACAAAGGGAAGGAAAGATATTGCATTTTTTATTCCCAATATAAAAATAAGTTAAAAACTAATACACCTGTTAACAATTTCAATGTTATTCCATAGATAAATTTTAGTCTTTCATTGTTTAAAATGTCAGTTAAAACTATTTTTATTTTAGCATAACAAATATTAAATATGGCTTGGAGAGGATTAGAAGGGGAAGATTTGAAGAATAACATTCGGCAGCTTGTAA